GCGAGGTTCAAGATTGTCCTCAAGAAATTGGTAGAATGCAAGAGGGTTGATATTCATGATTGTGACATTTTGTTGTCACAGTACAGTGAATTTACGGAACGGGCTACACAGGTGCACAAGTCTGAGTTTGAAGACTTTGACTTTACAGATCAGAGATTGGATGCATTTCTCCAAAAACACATTGGTCTTGTCGGTTCACTTTCCAAACTGTGGGACGTTGTGAAATTCCTCTTGTGTCTCTCACATGGGCAAGCAAGTGTAGAAAGGGGATTTTCCGTTAACCGACAGCTAATGATTGAGAATATGAAGGAGACCACTTTCGTTGCCCAACGCACCATTCATGACCACATATTGAGTATTGATGGATTTCATAAATTGGTCATTTCGAACGAGCTTCTTACCTCTGCTAAAGCAGGAAGACAGCGGTATCACGCCCATCTTGAAGAGCAGCGACAGCTTGCGAAAAATGTTGCCAAAAGCCACAAACGAAAATCTGTGGATGAAGCAAAAGCTGATTTCCAGAAGAAAAAGAAGAGACTTGAAACAGAGATCACCACCTTACAGTTTGATGCTGACAAATTAGCTAAAGAGGCTGAGGTGAAGAGGCAGCTCGTCTTGTTAACCGAATCAAATGCACTCAGAAATGCAGCAAAGGAGAAGAAGATAGAACTAGAAAACTTAAACAAGGAATTGGAAGAGTGTGATAAATAAGTCCGAGTGACAACCTGTCCAAAAGTACTGCTTTCTTGAAGTTATTTACCAGAATTGCAAGCATTTAACCATTGAACAAATAGATTTGTTCATACAAGGATGCACTCATATATTTTTCTATATTGTAGATGAAAACTGAAACCTCATACTGCAATTGTGAACACTGAAACAATGACTGTATTGTAAGGAAATTAAGATTTTATAGTTCTGGGCTGTACAGGTTTTGTTAGGAAATTAAGTCTGGATTATACAGTTTTTGTTACGAAATTTTAAAAGATATAGTTCTGGATTGTACAGATTTTGTTAGGAAATTAAGTCTGCATTGTATAGATTTTGTTAGGAAATTTTAATAGATATAGTTCTGGACTGTACAGTTTTATAAGGAAATTTTAAAAGATATAGTTCTGGACTGTAAAGTTTATCTTAGGAAATTTAAAAGATATAGTTCTGGACTGTAAAGTTTAGTAAAAAAGTATCTGTTTACGTCGTGTTGTTGCACTTGTGTCATTTTGTTGCACGGAAATAAAGATTCCGTGTTATACGTATGAATTTAACTGGTCTTAGCATCTTCTTTTCTACAATTTGGTTAACATGCAAGGAAAAAACGAATTGATGGTACTGTAAGTATATATTGAGAAAAATAATTTGAACAATTGGGTCATGGAAAATCGGAAAAGGTCATGGAAAAAGTCATGGAAAGTCATGGAATGTCAGAAAGTCAAAAGCGTACGAACCAT